ATGTCGATTAAATATGCATCCTTGTATTCCTTTGAGTAATTTACCGAGTCCACATTGGCTGGAAAAGCTCCTTCAGCGTTTGAGTTATGTCCCAGCATCCGGCTGTGTATACGTTTGTTGGTAATGCATCTGCTCTATGTGATTTGTCTTTTAACAGCATGCCTATTGCTTTCAGTTTCCGACAGAATTGTAGTATCGGTAACTGATTATATTCACACTTATCCACACTATTAGATGATTGGTGATTTGAAGATGTTGAAATGTTATGCCCATCTTTGATGTACCTTTCTTAAACAGTGAGCAGTGTAACGTAGCCAGCACGCCGTATTGGAAGTGTACCTTATACCTGCGATCCATAAATTGTATTCAAGTATCATAGAAGTTCTTTATGTCATTCCTATTTGTTTTTATCTGAATATCATCTGTCACATTGTTCAGTCAAGAGTCATACAGCTCTCCAAATTTGCAATGGACAGTCATCTTGATGTTGCCGACGAATGACTTCTTGGATGCTGATTGCTGATGTGATGCCTTCTATCTAAATAGTCCTTATGTAGCCGATATCTCTTTCAGATGACTCTGTATGGCAGCATCGTTCCCACCCAACCAATTATTATGTATAAATGTCGTGGGACCAAATTAATTGGATGTAGCTGCGTACTCTTGGGTCATTAAAGGATTCCGACCATTCTTCAATGTTCCTTAAGCTTATGTTGAGTGTATCTATGTGGCTGCGTTGTTTGTCTCTGTTCGTTTCATATTCTCTCAATTCCGTTTGGAGATATTAAAATACTATACCCTATTTTGTCTTGTATTTGTCCGCAAGGCTGAATTTCGATATTGAATTTGGAGCTTTTGATCTTGAAAGTCTTCCGAAAGATCTGTTCTTTATTACTCGTTGTAGTACTTGTAGGAATATTAACGATCTAATTCATAATATGGTAAGTTTTTTTTAAAATTTAATTTGATCAATTATGTAAAACAAGTTGTTTTATTACCATGTTTATAGCTTAATTTTGGGTTTGTTCTTTTACTTGATTTAAAATCATGCAGTTATAGCAGTTTTAAGGCTCCAGAAACAAACGGTAATATGGTGGGTAGCGTGAACAATGGTGCTGGTTCCAAACCTAACAGCTTATAATCTATTAGTTTATAAATCATTATCTCGCAGAAACCGATGAAAGCAGTATCACATCTGTTTGGTGCCTATCTGTAACGGTCGATATTAATTTCTTTTTACTCTGATTTCTGACGTAACATTTAGGGCTGAGATTGTTCTTTTATGATATTTATTAATAACCGGGTATACATGTGGCTTTTGTTTAATTGGCCTTTACCACCGATATGGTATATTGGTTGGTAATTACAGGGTAGGCGGTGCCTGCCGTATAATACTGACCCTGGTGCGGTTATCTTCGTGGACTATGAATTACTTGTATGATAATATTCATTTGTATTCAAAACGTCTTACTCTTATCAATCGTATTCTAGCTGCCGGTCTATTTGGTTTATTTTCCAGTTGTCTGTCCCTCTCTCTCTGTGTCTCTCTCTCTCTGTCTGTCTCTCTATACATAATATCGAAGAGAGAGGATAAATAGTTTTTTCACAGGCATCATGCTTATTATCAGTTAATAAATGACTGTCGCATATCATTGAAAGAAATTACATAACTAGAAGTAGGATTAAAGTTGTGCCTTTCACTGTCTTTCTGTATTGTCTATGGTGACTTTTGCAACCAAAACATTAAACAATGCTACTATAATATAGTGTGTTACATTTTAAGTAAGATATTATGGTTATGTTTGTAGATTACAACATTTTTTAAAATACACTTTAGGGTAATAAAATATCAGTTTGTTTGCATGCATGTGTTCATATAATATACTTTATCTCTTGATACAGTTTATTTATAGGGCTATATATCTAGGTGGAATTTTTATTGATTTAATATTCATCTTTCTGAATAATTGAGGGTAAGAACTGAGTCTACGCGGAAAATTAATATTTATGAACAACATACTACTTTTCAATGATTTTGCATTATATTTTAAGATTGTTATTACTGTCAGGTAAAATTGTTTGCAGAAGTTGAGTTCTAGGTTTAGTTTTTGTTTTAATAATGAAAGTCTTAGAAACATGTTTTATACATTTGCTCTGTTACTCACGTTAAGACCGGGGAGTTCTGAATGAAAATTGGAATATTGTTGAAGGTACGACATTGCTTAAAATATATAATACGATATGATTATGAAATTGATTATTTACTTTGTTTTGGAACTTGCTTACTCCCTGGTACATTAATTTCACATATCCGAAACATCTCTCTTAAAACCAATAAACATTCACAATATCATCTTATATGGGGATTTTTATTGTAAATCTATCAGGCAGGAATATTTTATATGAAAAGAGGATGAATTGCTTCAGCTTATCAGATAATTATATCACGTCAACTCTTCATTAGCAGGGCAAGAGATAAACAATATTTTATTCCAATATTTGATGGAAAAGAAGTTTTGGAGAATCGTGTACTGCCTTTGATTAACAAGTCACTATCTCTCTCTGAAAGAAAATAAAATAATTGAAATTAAAAGCAAAATAAATGAACATAGAATTTGAAAAACTCCAGCTGGAAAACATAATTAAAAAAGATGATGTAAAGATATAATTTTAATTGTGGAGAGAGAGCGTGAAAGAGAGAGAGAGAGAGAGAGAGAGAGAGAGAGAGAGAGAGAGAGAGAGAGAGAGAGAGAGAGAGTGAGAGAGAGAGAGAGAGTGCGTAAAGTGGGGTACTTATAGGAATCATATTCCCAATAAAATTGACCATACATTCCTATCTCTTCCTTATCAATACAGAATAATTTTATCTGTCTTTAGTTTTAGAGGTCAAAGTTAAGGTCATGTATTGAAGCAATACAGTTGTTATGTCAAACACACGGTCTGTTTTAATTAAGGACAAATATAAACTATTATAATTATATTTCAATTATTTTCGATTACACCAAGCTTGATGGTATTAAAATAGCAAAGGTCACGGGAGATTCTCATACACATAAGAGAGAGGTAGAGAGAGAGAGAGAGAGAGAGAGAGAGAGAGAGAGAGAGAGAGAGAGAGAGAGAGAGAGAGAGAGAGAGAGAGAGAGAGAGAGAGAGGCAAGCGAGCGAGCGAGCCAGCGAACGAGGATAACTATGTGTATTACCGGCATTGACATTCATTCTAAGTTAATGAATTAATATTTATATGTTATATAACAGGTAAAACATCCGTAGAGGTAGGACTAAAGTTCTGCGTGATAAATTGTCTCTTAATCTATTGAATATATTTCCCTTTGTAGCCCAGGCTTAAAACCTCTAAACCAATTTATCCTTTGAGTATATTACAGCATTTAAGTACCTTTAGGTGTGCTGACTCCTAGCCTTAGCTCTAAATACACTTCAAGATTGGTCATGTAACAGTGTAGGTCATGTGCAAAGGTGCATATCGCTATCTTCTTCCTTTGGCATATTTCACTTCTTGTTTTAGCAGCTTTGGGCGGGTTTCATATAGTATTTTGTGCACGTGGGTAAGAGAGTAGCTCTAGATAAAGGGACAATTGTGTATGTTGTTTATAAGCGTTTCCACATCATTTGCTTGCCTTTATTTTAACATTCTCCCTTTCCATTTGTGTGTCAGTAGGTACTGGTGCTGGCCATTACAATTATCATCGTCTTGTAAGTGGTATTATCCCACCATTTCAGGGGCTATATCTTGTTTATGTACGTTTGAGCACATCCAGCATTTTCTGTACACTCTGTGTATGATAATGCATATCTAGGTTTGTTTCAACATACTCCTCTTCTTGGCAGGGCTGAAAATGTCGATAAATATTCCTGCTGTTAGTGTTGGTTTTGGTCATTAGATGAGTGAGTGCAGGTCTGTCTGGCAGCATATTGGACAGAATGTGTAGGTGTTGGTTAGTAAACGTGTGGAGGAACACATATTTGTCAGAAAGATATATTTTGTATGGGATTATGCTGGTAATAAATAGAAAAGTCTCATAGCATTTTCATTAGTTAGTAGGTGCAGTTGTTAGCATTCCAGTGGCTATTGCTCACATAAACAGCATAGTGGTTGGTGGGTTTTCGTTTCTTGTCCAAATACGATGTTGGTAATATGTTTGTAAAGTTTGAAGTACACATATGATTTTTGTTGGTTCATCGTCTCAGCTATTAATCGATAGAGTCTTCATTTTTGGTTTGTAGATGGTAGTATGTTTGAGTAGAATAAATGAGTGCCGGCTATCTAAATCTGCACATTGGATAATATATGCCTATGCTAATTAGTCGTACGATGTTGATATTATATGAGTGCATATTTAAGGACTTCTTCAGCTGTCATTATTAAGTATTGCGTATTTTGAATAGGAGATAATTGGAAGTTAGCCTTCCAAACTGCATGAAAGTTAGGAGGTACTTTTGTCAACGAATCCGATAACTACCACGTATGAAATTTGAAGAAATGGCAAAATGTACAATTGCCATAAATGCCATATTATTAACAAAAACGATTTGCCATTATATTCTTTTGAATGCCCTAATGCCACATTTGTCAAAATGTTAAATGCAAAGTTAAATTCAGTAACCTTCATAATGGCAATTTTTTTTTCTTCTCAGTGTTACACTATTCCTATATTATATGACACGATATTATGTCATAAAAGACTGGAAAAAAGTGCTATCTGATAATATATGATATAAACGATATTACTTCAGCCATAAGCAAAAACATGCATCTACCAACTAAACCAAGAAGATTCGCGTCATACACGACGCACCTAAAAGTCTACGTTCCATTCTGTTTTGGAGCCCAGTATAATTACAATACCTGTGGGACGAAAATTATTGGAAAATATAGTCTATTCTAACATTATGAACTCCAATGCTTAGTATACTGAATTTTTTACAAATATGCTTCTAACATTCTTTTATTAATATTTTGTTTCTTTCAATAGTCCTTAATGAACCTCTCCGGTAGCTCTGTGGTTAGAGCGTCCACCTCAGATTCAGGAGGTCGTGGGTTCAAACCCCGGCCGAGTCATACAAAAGACTTTAAGAAAATGGTACTAACAGCTGCCTCGCATGGCACGCAACATTAAGAGGTTAGTATTAGGACTGGTTGGCCTTGTGTCAGGATAATGTGATTGCTGATGACCCAGTGCTAGACATCAATTTAAACTGTCACACTGCAAAAATCGTAGTGATATGACTGAAACATTCTTAAAGCTACGTCGAAAATCTAAATCACACACAAACACACAATAATTCTTAATGAAATTGCATGATGTTTTGTTTACGTTCATTACCATATACTTATAAGAAAAACTTTTATATATACTAGTGGCAGGCAGTACATTGGACATGGATGGAAGACACTTACGGCGCGAATCTTGCGACTCTCAACTATATAGAGGTAGGTAATTACAACGTATTAACTTGTAAACAACTTAATTACTCAATTTATGTATGTACACACACACACACACACACACACATATATATATATATATATATATATATATATATATATATATATATATATATATATATATATATATATATATATTCAAGCACAGAAACGCACAAATAGACGTTCCTAAATTGGTCCATCTGTAATACAGTCTCAATTAAAACTTGCGCAGACATTGTTTTACAAAAATATTATTCTGATGCTAAAACATGTTACCATGCTAGCCAATTCTCTCGGTGCAATATAATTTTTTCAAACGAGAACAGGTTTGAGGAAGTATATTAAACTTGGATGTGTGAATTTAGAGGAATTGTTTTCTTGCTATTACACACGTTTGCGTTATAGTACCCAGTATTACCATCGATGAATATACCTAATGGAATGGACTATTTGAATAAATTGATTAAGTACAATTATTCTCTAATACCCATGTGGGATCTCATTTATGAAATCTATTTGTATCATCAGAGTTAGCATTAATCATAATATAATTTACGCATCGACGTATCGAGCAAAGTGTTGTAGTATGCAGGGACGTTGTTCATTTTCGTCTGTACGCAATATCGTTATATGAATAAGAAATACAGTTTCTTTGGATGCGAATATGTATCCTTTGTAACGTTAAACTTGACTTTGTGGAAACAGCAACTTACATAGACATATATGCATATCTGCTGTGAATCTTTTGGCTTTTCAAAGTTGTACTATATTTTCTGCTGAGGTTTATATCATTCCTTTCTATTACAATATTGATCTGTTATCAAATTCTAACACTGTTGAACTGCAAAGATGTTATAAAATACCGAAATTGTTATACAATGATTTGTGTTCTAATTGCTAACGAAGGGATGAAACAATACTATAATAATTGAAATTTGTAGAGGATTTTACTGGATTTATCCTAATTAAGGTTGTAAGACAGTATTGCGTAATGAGGAAAAACTAATGATCGGTCGGGTTTGTTAAACTAATATGTGGAAACAAGAATCACAGGAGTATCTGGAGAGAACACATATTAAACATGAAGACTACTGACTACAGTCAGCATGTTTGTACCAAGAGAACGTTTACTTTTACTGTAGACTTATAACCATCTGGCACCATTTTACTAGAACAGTCTCAAACTATGCCACACTATTAAAACTGCTTCAAACATCATATAACTCAATGCAAAATAAATATAAATTATATATCAGTATAACGATGATTTGGACATTCCGTACAAATATTTTGAAAAATAGTATACTGAAAACGATATAAAATATATCACATCAATCTCTAGGAACAGTTTTCAGACTTTCAGTTTAAAACAGATCAAAGCTGTACATAAGAAGAGCCAGAATGATATGCATGATCGGTCCTAAAGCAATAGAAAGATATTTGGAACCTGTTAAAGAACAGACTTCTCTCTTTTTATCTGGAGTTTAAGGAGTACAGAATGTAGCACAGTCGGAAAATTAAAATGTGTCTTCAAAGGAGGTTCATCATTCATCTCTCTTTACAAGATGAACATTGGAGCAGAAATTTCACTAAACAAATGATTGTACTAAACAAAATCAAATATGGGTCACCTCACTCTGTGCGTATATGACAGCGTTTGAAAAGCTGTATGTCTGCGATCGTGTCGGAAACTATTTGCTATTGATCCTATGACTCGTTATTAGGTTTCTCTATTTTGCAGAATGGTTTTTCGAATAAAATGGGAGTTTGTAGTTTTCTTCAAATCCCCATCCCCATCAATAGTCCATGTTTACCTTTGGTTGTCGAATAAGCACATCTCTTGTATTTTATCCTTTGCAAAAATGGTACAAGTTTGTTTGGGATGATTTACCTATATGAACAGTTAATTCATTTGTTGTCTCTTTTTGTACAATTCGACCTATTAAATTCATTGTGAGCGAATGATCACTATTTGTATAGTAAACATTTATTGTCTTTCCATTGTGTAATATTTGTCTCATCGCCCACTAGGTTCTTGTTTCGAATTTGAAATGTGGCGCAGATTATACACACCTAATAAAATCAGTTAAAATAAAAATCGCTATCGATGAGCATGGATGTAATCACCTTTTATAACATCGTTGCTTTGACGAGTATTCAAAACAGTGGTCCTAAGGAATTTGTGGAGGATAATCATAGGTTACCTCTACTCTCTGGATCGCAAAGATTTAGTTGCGTAATTTAAAGTCTTAAAATGAGTGTAATAGGACTTATATTTCGTACTTATAACAATCAAAAGAATGAAAACGTTGTATCTTTATATTTTCAGATATATTGGCTCTCAGAGACGGGCAAAATTGCACTGGCGAACTTCAAGGTTTTAAACCAGCCCTTTATCATCTCGTCTCGTAATTAAAATAAGGTTGTATGGGATCGGTTAAAATATTTGCAATTGAATAATGGCATTTAAACACAAACTTCACCAGTTGACGGAATAAAACATTCAATTGTATTATATTTTCTAGGTTTTATGATAGAAAACAAAGAGGTATGCATCCTTAATTTAGGTATATGACATTAGTCCTTATAGTGACATAGAAAGATCTAGTTTGGTATGTTTAAGTGCAAATACTATTTGCATATATTTTGCAGCTGAATATTTGTATGCAAATCTATTGTACCATAATGGTCTTCGTCATTGCAATGGAAATAATATTTTTTTTAAAAATAAAATGATGGCAGGAAAATAATGTTATACAATATTTCTAATAATGTCATGATACAGGTTGAGATCATTAGGTTTATATAACCTAGAGAATTTAGTAAAAAGAGGAAAACACGACATTCCTGTTTTGAGTATGTTGCATATATTATCAAGTGCAAAAGGAGAGAATATATAACAAAGAGTATTGATTAAAAATATGTAGTGATAAGTTACTCTAATTACTATTACTATTTAAATGTGTCACTTAAATTTCATTTTTTAACAATGCATGGCGCAAATAATTGTTGTAAATGTATCTGAATACTCGTACATATGATATGTATATATGTTTTAATGTATATGTATGTGTGTATGTATATATATATATATATATATATATATATATAAAAATATATATATATATATATATATATATATATATATATATATATATATATATATATATATATATATATATATATGTGTGTGTGTGTGTGTGTATATGTGTATGTGTGTGTATATGTATATATATATATGTATATGTGTATGAATATATGTATGTATGTGTATGTGTGTATGTATGTGTATATATGTATGTATGTGTGTATGTTTATGGGTATATATATATATATATATATATATATATATATATATATATATATACATATATATATATATATATATATATATATATATATATATGTATATATGTTCTTTTATGTTTACAATGTTTAACTCTATATGAGTATTTTAATTTAGATGTATGGACTATGCAGTCTGAAATAAAGAATTCTTATCTTATCTTATTACGTTTCACTCACAATAGACTTATAGTTGATGCCATTTTAAGATGTATTATGACTGATGTATACGTGTGATTCGATGTTAATTATTACCGCATATAAGCACTGAAAATGTATTAAGAATGTATTATTATATTTGAAACGAGTAAGCGTTTAATGACATCTCTTCAATGTCAATCTTCACATAATGACTGCAATAAGTGTAAATAGTTTTAACTTAGTCTACTTTATCATCATAATCTATCTTTACTAGTTGTTTTGATTTGCAAATGTTACATGTATATATTATCCACACTCAAGCAGGAACGGAGATTTACTCGCATAATTGGTTGCTCGTGTCATTTACTTCAACTATTACGAATGAATGGAATTCTTATATTGCTTATTCCGTCAGCCAATGTTTGACTGTAAGTCCGTTCTGTTTGTTTAGAGATAGATTAAGGTGAGAAAAAAGTTTTTTCTTAAACTTATATATTTTGTTTCTATTGTGTACCAATTAGAATCGGGATCAGAAGAAGATCGAGATTTGCTGCTCAGGGTCCACGTTTCTGGCTTATACGTGATTGAAATCTACTTTGAAATTGATCCGTATTCCTTGTGTGCAACTTTAGTCCTGACTTTGATCTTTATCGAGCCAGATTATGATAATTGCTAAATATGTGTTAATGTTTTGCTGTACATTTTCAGTGTGGATGATGCTGGATCATCTATATCATCAACCAAATGGACCCTACTGCATGAAACAGGCTATCACGAGTTTAATTGGTGAGAAATAGTTCTTCACCCACTTTGTCTTAATCTGTCCCTAACTATGAGTTGTTGATTCGTTATGATATTTTTAATTCATTAAAAACATATATTTGTATGATATATATATATATATATATATATATATATATATATATATATATATATATATATATATATATATATATAATACAAATCATATGGCGAATAACAACCCTCTCAGGCGTACTGGATCCACCAAGGGATCACGTTTGTCAGAGATTAATTAAAATAGATGCAATAAACTGACGACGAACAGTACGAAACTAGTAACTAACTAGCCTAAGCGCTTTCGACTCTTAATGAGTCTTTTTCAAAGGCAAATACAAATACAAAAC